GGTGGCTGCACTCTAGAGGAGGAGGCACGGTAGGTTTGTATCCACTTTTTTTTTTTTTTTAATGGTTTTGGGTGTTCAAGATGAAAGATGCTGTATTATCAAGGGGCAAATCTGTGGGAGTAACGTCCTCCCACCTGCTTTTGCAGAATTGGCCTTTAAAACGCCGAGCACCTAAAGCGGTGGAGTCACCGGGAGCCCTGTGCGCTCGCGGATGGGTCAGGCTGTTTCCTGGGGACTGGAGCGTGGTCCGGTGGGCATCGGGGCTGGTGCGGGGGACCGCTGCCACCCCTCTCCCCCCCGCAGCTCCCCGGCCACCTCCTCGCGTGAGAGCCTCCCGTAACGCCGGTGCAGAGCGTGCCGGCAGCTGTGTTTAACAGGTAGGGCAGGTATGGGGAAATGCTCAGGGCCCTGCGCTCGCCGCAGAGCTCCTTCCCACCTGCGAGCCCTGATCAAACACCTCGACGGGCGGCCTGAGTGGGAGCCATGATGTAATCTTGGGAACCCAAAACAATCGGCCCTTTCATGGCAAGACGATAACAATCAAAACAGTATGTAAGGGCCTGCCATGCAAGAATACACATGCACATTATACACTGGAGGGAATTGAAAGCCGTAGTGAAAAGGGGCTTGTTAAGAATATGTAGCCTGCTTTCATAATCAGTTTGTAAAAGAATAGGCCCTTGAAAACAAGGGTTTAGGCTTATAGAAGGCTTTCTGTGCCTTGACCTTGCAAATATGCAGAGATGCCAACTTTTTTTTGAAAGTGAACTTGGAGTCTCCCAGCGTGGTGCCACAGCAGTTGGCAGGCAAGCTGGGGGTAGGAGGTCCAGCCCCGGTATGTTCCCGGAGGACATGGAGTCTTTCCCTCTCGCCGTGAGGAGCTGGTCCTTGGTGGAGCTCCACCAGGATGCCACGGTTTTACCTTTTCTTCCTTAAAAGTGCAGCACTGGGCTCTGCTGCAGAAAAGGATCAGCCAACGCAAGGACAGACCCATCCCAGCATTGCTGGCTCTCTGCAGAGCTCATGTGTAGATGGTACGTGTCCTAGTAGCTTTTCTGTCCCCAGATTGAGAAGGTTATGGAGGACATCACTGTCACCATCGCCATTTTACAGATGGGGAAGCTGAGGCAGAGAGCTGGGAAAGGTAACATGTCCAATGCATGTTGGCTCCTTGATGCTTCCAAGGGCACCTGAGTCCGTTGTGCCCAAATGGAGGAGACACCCAAGCGACATTCCCGCGTTGGCCAGGGTGCCGGTGGCAGAGCCACTAACGGGGCACATGCATCCCCAGGCGGAGTCCGGTGCGGTTTCCCCTGGGCTGCCCTTTCTCTAGACCAATGCACATTTGTAGGTTGGGGACGAGCCACGGGTTATCCTCCTTGTCTGCAAAATGTCTTTTAGCTGGACACCGGTGACCCATCAGACCAGACGGAATCTGCTTCTAACACCTCTCTATCGGTTATTCCCCACCTTCCTCGCTTTAGAGATCCTAATGTCTCTAAACATTTCGTTCTGATGATTGTCTCTCTGGCTACGTTGGCTCATCTCCCCATCGTCGTCTCCTCTGTGTCCCGTAGCTCGCCGTGGGCACCCGGAGGTTCAGCTCCCCTGGGCCAGGCTGCTCCAGTCTGTCTTTGTGCATCTGTTTTACAATGTGTTTCTTTGCAGTCGGGGGAAGCCTTCCAAGAATCCCCACCTATTTCCGTAATAAGGACGCCTTTGTTTTCCTCGTACACAATGCAGCTTTGATTCAGTTGCTTTCTCACCAACTGTGTTGCCTTCGGCTCGACACGGGAGCTACGGAGAAGGTGTGAGGTGTGCACAGCTCGGTGGCAAAGGGGGAGAGGAATGTCCCGTGGGGTGGTTTTATTTCACATTCGGGGCATCAGAGGTAAATCTGCTTTGCCTTAGCACCCGGACATCTCCCGAGATGTTGCGCTGGGCAAACAGAGGTGGCCCCTGAGCAGCGAGTGGAGGTACCCTTCGTGCAGTGAACCGAGGCAAAGCAAATAGGAAGGCTTATATGTTCCTGGCCTCCATGTTGTCATGGAGTTATCCTCATCCTGATGAGATTAGTGTCCCTGGGAAAGACTCAAAAGGCCCCAAAGTCCAGGAAGTGTTCAGGCAGAGCTGCGGTGGGAGGACGCGTCGAAGGAACGAGTGGTCCTAGGGGCGGGGGAGTGTGGTCTGCGTGAGCAGAGGACCTTTGTGGGGACATGGAGGGACTGGAGGCCGGGAGATGACATGGGGACCTTCTCAGCCTGACACTGAGCCCAGAAGGTTCTTTCTGCCCTGTGGATGTCCCAAGGCAGGATTGAGAAACCCCACGCGCAGGGATGCCTGCGGCCAGGCGCTGGGTCTCTGGTGGCCTTTGCCTCTTGCGCTGCCGCATGCTGAAGCTTTGTGTGCCTGCGCCCGATGCCTGCCCTGACTGCCAGCACCCACGTGGCGTGGTGCCGACACCTGCATTTCTTGGGAAAACGGGTTAAAATCTTGACCCGGGAGGGGGCACACGTCGCTGCCTCCCTGCTGAGGGCTGGGGGAATTGGGTGGCCTGACCCCAGAGGGTCCCTGTCGGTATTGGAGCACACCATGACCCATTGCACACCATGGCACGTTGCTTTCCATAGCGTGTGCATGCTGTAGCACGTGGCATGTTGCTCACTGCAGCCCGTTGCTTGCCATGCTTGCCAAGCCGGCTGCAGCCCCGTCCCCCGCACGTGCCAGACCCACTGGGCATCCGGCGCTGCCGTGGAGGTGGCCCAAGCTGTAGGGCTGGGGCCGGTTCTTGTTTTGGGGACCCCAGATGGGTTTTGCTAGGGGTGTGCATGGGAGAGAGGGGAGGAGGAGAGCAGGGGCAAACCCACCCGTCTGGGCTTCTCCTGCTGGGTCTTTCCCCAGGTTAAAATCCCTTTCCTCCTGCCCCTTGGGGCTTTCTCTCTCCTGGG